ACAGAATCGTTCTCGTGTTCGGAAATCTACTTTTGTACTGTGTTGTTCTTTATCATTTATCAATATACTTTTATTCATACATTAAGAGTGTGTCCCCTTTATTTCACCAACAGAAACATCGTTATAAAGTGGCTAGTGAGACTTTTCAATTTGTAAGCAAAGTATTGTAAAGTATGCTTGCAGTATTATAAATTAAATATTAGAAAAACATACCAATGGACGATGAAATATAGAACTCTGCCTGCAGTTCTGCTGAGTCGACGAAGTAGCATAGAATTACTGTTTTGCCGGTCCCGGATAAAAGAGGAGGGTTAAGCGAGGAACTAACTATACCTTCTTAACAAAAAAACAATCAAACACACCTCTCGGACCCGGGCGGATCTCTTAAGGCGAAACACGCGACGAAAAAGTGAATTTGGGATCATGGAACTTACTGCCTCTTCACATGTCGCTTAAGAGCTGGAAAACTAAAATATGGACATAACAGCGGGTACGAAATCAGGTGGACAGGGAACCGAACTCAAAGAATGGGAAATTTAGTATTATTATCTAGCGGAATTGACCAGGGACGACACCAATTTGGCACAGGGTTTATAGTGAGGGAGCCCGTAGAAAAACAATCATGGAGTTTAAATCAATAAGCAAGCTCTCTGCTATATGAGACTTGAAAAAAAGTGGTATAACTGCTCGGGTGGTCTCAGCGCATACCCTGACAGAAGGAAGACGAATAAATAAAGGAATTCTATGATAAACTAAGTATGATATGTTGATTATTTTAGGAGACTTTAATGCCAACGTCGACAACGAAGAAGCGTACCAAACAACTATAGGCAAATATAGCGTCCATGAATCTAGTAAAGGCAATGTATCTAGACTTGTCGATGGTCGAATAAAATCAACCATGTTCGAACATAAAAACATATACAAAGAAACCTGGACTTCAAATGACGGGTTCACAAGAAATCATGTAAATTACCTCCTAATAGATAGAAAACATCACAACAGGCACATATTCGCACCACTTGCTAGTAACGGCAAAGATGAGAATAAGAATCTCCACTTTCCCAACGCATAAAAAGGAGCCCAGAACAACTTGGGATACGGGAAAACTAAAATCAGAAGAGACACAAGAAAGATACCAAGAACAAATAAAAGAGCCTCAAGACGAAAGCAACATAGACTAATTATGGGCTAACATTAAAGAAGAAATAGCCAAGGCATCCAAACAAGACATGACAAAAAATCAGCAAATAAAGCGGTTTGATGATGACTGCCATATGACACTTGAAGCAGGGAACCTAACTAGGAACAAATGTTACAACATCCAACACAACCTAATATAGGAGAATATAAACATGAAAAAAACAGCAGCACGCAGAATGGTGAAACGGAAAAGAGGGAATACTAGTTTTCGATAATAAGGGAAATAGAAGGATATAGTCAAAATAAGAGAGCAAAAGAATATTTCAGGGAAATCTCAAAACAGAATGCAGAAAACAGAAAATGGAACCCAGAGAAGAAAATTTCCTGGAGAATGGAGAACTCATAACCAACGAAAAGGAGATTTTAAATACCTGGAAGAAAAAGCTCCATAGTCAGACTTGACAAAATCCTAAATTTTTTACAACGAATACGAAAAATTTTCTGGAGTCCAGAGAAAAAACTAGACACTAGTATCTAGATCTACCTACATCCCGTAATTCCATCCCAGATATTTTGGAATAAATGGTATCAAATTTCGAGTAATTCTGGAATCAAATAATAATCAGTCAAATCAAGAAAAAAACGCTTAAAAAATTACTGAATTACTTTGTTCGAATCACTTATCTGGTCCGATGATTTGCCGCTGAAAACTAAGTTTCAGAAAAAGCAGAAATTACTTTATCTAGGTAAAATCTTTAAAAGTAAACATGCACCTGGGGAGAGTAAGCATGCAGAATGGAGCAAGATAAGATTTTTTATAGTGTTTTCTACATACATCAACTATGGCAACGGCTATAAACCGATTTCCCATATCCAGAATTTTTCCCCCAAGAGACAATGTTTTTATCGACACTGATTTTCTTACCAAAACTTCTGGTTTCGCTGCATGGAAATCACCAAACGGATGAAGCAAAGAATTCTTCATTTTCCTGCTGTTCCCCGATTAATCAACGAACAGTTAGGTGATATGAAAAACGAGCTGAAAAAGCGCTTGCGAAAAAATTGATGTGGAAAATACGTTTTAAGAAGTTCATATTGTCGAAAATGAAGGAAAATTTAGATTTTTCTCTGCACTTTTTTAGTTACGTATTTGCAAATATATATTTCAACCCGAAGAAGTTTATGTGCATTACATGAAACTTGTTTGATTGAAATATACATTTATTTAATTGCTAAAAATGGTAAGAAGTCTTAATACATATCGATTACAAGTTTTGTCGTCTAATTTTTAGGATATAATTCATCATAGGAATTAAATATTTATCCGAAATTAATTAATAATGCAAAAATTTGCAAAAAAACTACACACCTAATTTTATATTGCAAATTGCGTACTTAAACTTGGTTTTCAGTTTTTAACACATTTCTTAAATATAAACTTAACAAAAGATACTATTGAAAAAAATTTGTATACGCCTAAAAAAATTAAATATCTGATAGCTGCATTTTAGGCTTTAGAGCATGCAAAACTTTTTACGAACAAGAAATGTTTGCTTAAAAATAATAATAAGTAAGTTTTTGCAGGGCTAGAAATTGACTCAACAGTAGAAGCAAGCAATTCATTAATTAAATTAAGTGCAAATATTTACTACCTGCTTCACTGTTTTTATTTATCCCTTTTAAGTATTTAATTCGACATTTGTAATAAACAAATAATTACGTAATCACGTTTCCATCCTAGAAATTAGTGAAAAGCAAGAAAAGCTCATAAAGTTTCAATCAAACGCTTCCAAGCAGTTTTCGTTGTGGTCCAGACCAAACGAGCCGAGCCTGAGCCGCGACAATTTTCTTTGATGTTTTGTGAAAACCCCGACAGACAGTC